GGGGAGCCCCCGACCGATTACTGTCTGGTACATGGTTAAGAAATGACAACCCGGTGATATATCCATTACTGAAATGACGAGCATGAGAAACATTTGATTTTCCTTTGCTCCTCAGCGTTACTTTGTTAATCAGTAATGCACATGTAGCTCCATTTTTGTGCACTGTATGGTATTGGTGTATGGTAATGTACTCATACTTCTAGACACCGCTCTTTCTAGCTGCTGGGAGTTAGTGGCTAATGGGGTGTTTGATGATTCAGTCAGTGATCAGGGTGATTGTTAGTTACACTGAAGTGTGATATTCCTTGTGCATTTTGGGCCTTTTTCTGTGGTTGACTACAGTGTGTTTTGCAGTATTTGACTGGTAATAATGTTGTACTTCAAAATACACCTTTCCCAGCTGCAACTTTACACCACCAGACATGTCAAAAAAAGAAAACTTTACACCACCACGCATCTTTTATACTCCACGATCATATCTCTCTTTATAGAAGGCAATTTTGCCCATTGTTGAAATTTCCTATCCAAATGCTGTTTTTCCCGTGAGCTAAGAAGCACCAACACGGGGATACAGACCACAGGGATATGCGATATGGCATTTTCCAGAAACAGCCAACAAGTATGTATAAATAGCTGAAAAATGTTGCATGTAATCAAGACAAAAAGATAATTTTAAGATTTCAGATCGAAGTACTACCCCATATCTTGCCTCCCTAGCCAGCAGCTAAAATACATCTCACCCAGTGTCTTAGATGGCATTTGTACCTAGCCAGCAATGACAAGGTGGCGGCAAAGAGGAAAGCCCGCAACGGCCAGCAACAGCTAACAAGAGCAATGCAGATGTGGATGTGAGATCCCGGCAGTGTCCTGGTCCTGGCTGTCGCCGCCTCTTCTCCAGGCGCATGGCATCGTCCACTTAGGGGAGGAGGAGACATTGTTGGCAATTACAGGGGAAGACATGGATGGCACTGGCCACCGGACATGGAGGATACGTCGCCTGTCGACGAGCAAGAAGATCCCGGTGATGGTGCAGTTGTGGCTCTCGCCCCTTCTCCAGGTGCAGGCTCTCGCACGACTGGGATCGCACGACTGGGAGAGCCTGGAGGGTGGCTGCTAGAAGCAACTCTACTCTAGGTTTAAGCTCAACATGTGTCCCAGCCGTGTCTTCCAAGTATCCCGACGGCCAGGGCATCACATTATTTTTAAATAAAAAAGGAGGGGATACTTAGGGATACGCGTATCCGTACATTTCTCTGTATGGCCGTATCGGTGCTTCAGAGCCTGCGAGGGCCTTTAAAGTGCGTTGTTTACATGCATCATGCTATCCTCCACTCCAAGTATGCAGTTATCATACGTTGTCCAGAACAAAATTTAAAGGCACTATTTTTCATGACAGTGAGTTATGCAAGCACGGGCTTGTGCTACTGTGCTCCTTTTCCACGATTACTACTCAGTTACAATTACATTTGTCTCCTGTTGCCATTACATGCAAAGCACAAGCTGCATTTCTTCTGCCTAGATTAGGCAGAGATCCACAACATCTACTTTTGTTAGTTGTCAAGCAGATCCTTACTATTTATCTTCTATTGCAGCTTGTACGCAGTAATAGCCGTCGGTTTATGCCTTCGCAAGCAGATGAAGAAGCTCATCAGTTATCTTATTTACAAAAGCATATGGCCAATGTTTTAACTCTTTTGGCAGATTCTGTTGATGGAGAGGGTGATGAATCTATGGTCAGTATCAATTAATCTGTAACAAGTTTCCTTTAAGAAATTCAATATTTTGTGTGACAAAGTTGATCACTTTTGTTCTTTGTCAATAACATTAATGCACTCTGATCAATTCCCCTACTCGAAGGTCATCATGTCAAGCAGTAACTTCAGATCTTAAACAGTGTGTGTAGTAGATGTAGGGCACAATTTTGAATAAAACTGGTAGAATACCGGTAATACTTGGTTTCCTGACAATAATACTGGTAACTGAATTGAAAAGAAGGCACAACTACTTTGTGTAACCCCTGCCCGATGCTCATGGCCACTGAAATCAATGAATTAACAATTAAATAATTAACCCAAGCAGTGCAAGTGCATGCACGTCAAAGGCTAGAAGCCTCATCAAACAAATAAAGGAACTGCAAGGATCACAATTGTGTGGTGAAGACATTTAAGGATGAAAGTAGACAAGATATTCATATTCCTATGGGCTGTTGAGGATAAGGTAACCTGGGTTGGTCATTCTAGGAAGCACATATGATGGAATATATCTGTAGATTACTTTGCAAATGCAAGGCACTTTCGATGAATCGGATCTTAGATTGAAGGAAGAACAGAGCTAGTTCATCTTCTCTGCAGTACAAAAGATCTTGATATATACCATCCATGGTTGTGTATGATTGCAGAACAAAATTATCCACATTACTGTCATATAGGAGTAAATGAAATAATCTCGGCCGCATTGCTGTGTGATATACTCTTACTCTGAAAACTCCATAGAGTAGAGTAGTATAGACACTAACTGTCATTTGTATTTCTCTATATGCAGGTACTGACAATGGAGACTTTTGAGCACCTTGGATTCTTGTTGCAGTTCTCCGAAGGAACTCCTTTAAGCCAAGCTGCACCATTTTTTGCGAATTCTGATCTAGACATGCCTGCTGCTCCTGTTCCGGCTACTCAAGTTCATGACTGGATTCTGCAGAATATAGCTTCTTCCTTGGAATATACTGCAGAAAAAGCTATAACCAAGGAAAACAATCAACGGAGTGTATCTGATCCTGATGTGGCAATGGCTGATGCTGTCACAAATACAAGAATCCAGAGCAGCTCATCAACTGGTGCTTCTGTGCAAAACAATCCTGGATACTACCGAAATACATCTTTTGTGGAGGGTATCTCCAAAACTTCTGTTGTCAAACACGGGTCTGATATTAAAGGGCATTCAATAAAGGTACCCATGTATTAGTTTTTAGTAATGTAAGTTGATATCAAGGTTTACTGAAGATGATTTGCTCTGTGATTCATATCTCGGTTGAAATTCAAGTAACATAAAGTGTCTATTTAAGTAAGGGAATTCCAAAGCTGAGTTTTGTGACCCTTCCTACAAAAAATTAATTGTTTTTTTGTAGGTTTTGAACTGCCATGATTCTGTTATCTACATCCTAGCCCCTCTCAAATATGCTACGGTGTATGGATGTTCGGACACAACTGTTGTTCTTGGTGCTATTGGCAAGGTATGTATGTGATGTAATTTTACTATCCATATTTCTATTTGAATGCATCAGGCAACATAATGTTATTCATAAGACTATTGTTCTTATATTCCAATGCATAGTTTTTAAGTTCTACTTTATCCTATATTAATTATTATGCACATAGAAATGGTATCTTCAATTACATAGTTTCAAGCCCACGGTTAAAAAAAGCGCTAGGCGTTAATTGTGTGTTTAGTCACTGCCTTGCGCTTTTCTAACCAAAGTGCACGCTTATGCGCAAATGTGCACATTAAGCGCTAGGCTTTTTTTTCCTATCTCCTAGGGCCTATGCGCGCTTAAGCGCCCACCTAGGCCCACCTTTTTAAACTATGTTCAAGCCTAATATTGTTTCATGCTGTCAGGTGGTAAAAGTTGAGCATTGTGAACGTGTGCAAATAGTTGCGGCTTCTAAAAGAATTTTTATTGCCAATTGTCGAGAATGTATCTTCTACTTGGGAGTAAATCACCAACCACTTATTGTGGGGGACAACCATAAATTACAAGTGAGTATATGTTTATCCAATTATTGTTATCATCTGATGAAGTGTACAGTACCACATATCCTTGTTATAAAAGACAAAAAAACTGTATGAACAGTGGGATTCAATTATTATTTTCATCTGATGAAATATACACTACCGCATATCCTTGTTATAAAAGACCAAAAACTGTATGAACAGTGGGATCAAACTTTGCAAGCATTTTAGATATATACGAGGCACAATATGTTATGTTTTCCCCATTCCTGCACATTTGGAGATCAAAGAGGCACCCTTTGGAGCACTTGTGAAGTTTTAAAGTCAATCCTACCAAATGTAGAAGACTAGCATCTATCCTGCTAAATTATAACAGCAAAAGTTGATGATGGACCTGTATTATTTGATATTTACTGCGCACTTCAACAACAATTTTCTTACCTCTTGTTTTAACAGGTTGCTCCATTTAATACTTATTATCCACAACTTGGGGAGCATTTGGCACAAGTTGGTGTGGACCCTAACGTCAACAAGTGGGATCAACCTTTTGTGCTGGGAGTTGTTGATCCACATGATTCATTATCTCATCCTGCAGGGGTTTCTGATGTCCAAGCCGAGTCTGCCACTTGTCTAGATCCTGATCTATTCACAGACTTCATGGTATGGAAATATGTTATTTACCTAGATTATTGCAGCTTAAATAAAGATAAACTAATGAATTCCATGAAAATCTTTGTTTGTTTTGCCGAGCAGATCTCAGTTCTCAATCTATTGGTGTATGTCAACTTGTTGTATCTGATGCGTCCACATTAACCTTATTATTTCCTTGTCCGTGGCAGTTGTAGTAATAACTGAGATGTCATTTTGACATATTTCTCAGTTGTAACTAGTTAGTTGTCACTTGGCAACAGTGAATAACCTGATGCTGAAACTTGTTATATTATTGAAGATTCACAATGTTATTTTTTCCATGGTTTCTGACCAGCCAAATATTATTTTTATTGGTTGTGCTGTAGTAATGTAGAATTCATCATGCAATACATTTTACACTGTTAATCTTCTCTGTATTTTTTTGACTGATTGGCTAATATCTTTCTGCAGATTCCTAGTTGGTTTGAGGCAGAAGGTCCTACCAAATACAATCCATTTACGTTACCTGAAGTTTACTGGGCATCACAGAGGAAAAAGGTTCATCTGCAATCCAAATTCATTTTTGCATCATTTACTCGTTAGTCATTACAAAGTACAAACTAGGACAGTTATCTTGGACATACTTGCACACAATTGTGGGATTTGATTAAAGCAGGCACACACTGTTTATTAAATTACAGTATTTATATAGTGGAACGTGGTGCTTGAGTATGTCTGGAGCAGGAAGGATCCGAAGTTGTTGTAGGAATTAGTATAGATTACCCTGAACTTTTGGGGTTCGGTCACTTAACCCCCTGAATTAAATAACCAGGTATTTAGAAGCTTCACAATTGGAGCAAGATTACGTGGATCAGTTCTGCCATTAAAAATACCACAACTAGCCCTTTCACTGGTCAGCTCTCTCCTAACAACTGGCAACAGCTGGAAAATTATTCACTCCAATTCTCTCAACTCTCCCCAACTCACCGCTCTTGCTAGTGGTCAGAGGCAGAAGTCCCCAATTGAACCCTTAACTCTAAGAAAAGTCCGCTTTTCAACTCTAAACTCCAAAATCGTTTCGGATTGCACAATTAACTTTTTCATTTGAAAATATCTATTTAGTATGATGATTAGGCTTGCAAAGTTTACGTCACCTACACCACTCTACGCTATCTTGAAGTAAACCAGGCTAGGGGGTTATTTTCTCTGGTTTGGAGCTGTAGGGGCTAGAATACCCTGTTTTTCAGATTATGGGGTTAAGGCTGTAGCATTGATATTAAGGGAGTAACTTGGACTTACTTCTTGAATGTAAATATGTAATATTAATTTAGTAAGGGTATATATATGTCAAAACCGTTGCCCTTTCGTGAACCACCAATGTTATTTGAATTATTGCTGATTCAGATAAGCACAATGAGCTGAAAGCTTGAAATGAATATGTATTTCCTGGTAGGGTTTTGAGGTGCTGGCTTGGACTTAGTGAGTCCAATGTTGTTTGGAACAGTGTGATTAGTTCACTCTCTTGTTATTGTCTGCTGCTCATTATGTGATAACATACTGATATGTTAATGAGTGTATTTCACATATCTTGATATCTTATATATTTCTAAAATTTGGTTTCCTTGCTGCACTTCTTCAGAATGCTTCTCTGGAAGACATTCAAAAGAATATACGAGAGCTGGAGCTTGATGATAACCGGAAAAAAGAATTGGCATGTGCCCTTCATGCTCAATTCAAGGACTGGCTATATGGTAATTAATTCCTTTATTGACATTACTGTGATGATAGATTAATGTTTGTATATTTGTTTTTTTTCGTACTTGTCTCCTACCAGCTTTTGACTTGACGCCCTCTCTTTTTTGAGGTCTGGCAGTTTTTCCTTAAGTCCATGATACTGTAATTGGCTATCTCATGGTAATCCGTGAGAACTTGATTTTCGTGCAATATCCGTTCTAGTTAGTTAGTGGTCATTGAAAAATGATCTTACATTGTGCATTATGGTGGTTAATTATGACTTCAAGCAACGATCTGGCACTGCCTTTTCGAGAGTCATTACCATTGATTTCTACATATGTTTGGAACTGCACATAATGTAGTCATCTTTGTTTTTCTATTAATAATATTCTACTGACCGTAACCACTTTCTAGAGAACAACTGATGATCTCACTGCTAAAATAAAACAAATTTTAAAAATGGTTCTAGATCCCTGTTTAGGATTCAGGATTAGTCAAGTTCGTAATTTGGGAGACTTGGACAGGACTAATGCACTTCTGATGCTTGCCATGGTTAGTCCTGGTTGCTTTGTTCTTCATTCCTGAAGTGATGTTTACAATATTTAATACAGTGATGAGAATGTGCTTCTTGGTTTGTTCTTTCATTTGAGTCATAAATTGGTAAACTTAACCAAATGAATTGGTATTTGTTACCGAAGTAGCAAACTCAACTATATGACTACCTGGTCCTTATATCTTCAGTTTCCACCATCAAACTTCTTTTCACTGCAAAAATTGTTTCCTTTACTCTTGAAATGAAGTGTTGGGAGTTAACAATTAGGTGTTTTAAATCTTGTGTCCAGCTTCAGGAAATATCCGCCAGCTTTACTGTTTGCAAGGCGAATAAGCATATATGATCTTCATCCGTAAGTGCTTAGGCGCACCTGTGAAGATTGTGCATCCTTTTGCCCGGTCCCCTTCCATAGTCCAGTCCTGTCCATCCGACCGCATCGTCCACGCTGACTTCTCGTCGACTGAGCTGATTCAACCATGTAGTGTTTGTCAATGTAAAAGAAATAATGTACTGCCCGTTTTGTCTATTAATTTTGATCGGCTTCCCCTTGTGTTGGTTGTGGTTGGTGCAAGGATCCAAATGGGGGTTTGGTAGTTTCATATTTATATCCTTTGTAACATATACGACCATGAAAGCAGTTACTCGATTCTTTAGTGGAAATAAACATTTTTTTGCTCATCAGTTTGGCCTATTTCTATTTATACTGTAAATGCACACTTCAAGATTGGTGTACTGAGTAAGCGGTATGCAAACGTGTTCGCTGTGTATGTTTTGCACTCTGTTTGCCCTGGAGATTTTTGCCCAAGACTTCTAAAATTGTTAATCACACCAGGCTACATGTTCACGAGTTATATGCTAATTTATAGAGCGCTATCAAATACACCCTATGTTCCTAAATGTAAGACGATTTGGCAGTTCAAAATTGCGTCTTACATTTAGGAACAAAGTGTGTAGTACTTTATTAGACCAAAGTTGACATCAAGATCTCCATGAATTAAAATATCCATGTGCCATCCTCTCCGCAATGATGTCCCCGATTTGCATAGCCCTGTATGCCCTATTTAAATGGCCTCACTAGAGCTTCACAACCTTCATTGTTGTTTGCAATGCGTGCACGGGCGGACCCACATAACAATAGCTTTCGTGTGTGACGTTGCCGAAGTAGCAAAGTAGGCACACAACCAAAATCTCTTTTCTCTTTTCCTTCAGAAAGATGAGATTGATGAAAACGGCAAATTGATGAGATTAGCAAATGCCATGCGTATATAAATGCCGATGTGGGAAAGGGAGACACCGAGAATTCAAGTTAATGGCCCATGAAATATTATATCAACTGGCGTCCTCAGGGTTGCACTAGTAGTACATGAAGCGCCGTTTGGTGGGTGCATGGTTGCATTAGTATTCCGCCAAATCGTGCTTGCTGGGTGAATGGATCTCTTTGTGAGTTATGTGTCCCATCAACAGTGTATGAGTGTATTCTACACCGTGAATGCAATCTCACAAGATAGGCTTTCAACTTAGGGATATATAGATTAGATGTGTTACCAGCATATGGTTGCCTATACTACCATGTTGTGCATATCTAGTGAAACCCAATTTATTAAGAATTTGATATGCATTTTGTTATGGATTTTAGCTCATAAACACTAGTTGCAACTCGAGAAATTGCATCAGTAGACCCCAGCCAAGCCATACAGGCCTAAGATGAAGGTAGGTTGAAGCTCTATCAGAGTTTTGTTGTAGATTTATGTGATTAGGGAACTGATGAGATTCATGAGTTGTATGATCAAGTATTAGTGAAAGGACATGCGGTGCCTCCATGTGTGGTTTTGGTAATTGATGACATTCTCTATGGGCTAATGGTTGCATTGAGTTATATTTGAAGGATTTGTCCATGGACACTTCTTAAAGTTCATGTGTTGGTTCTAAGGAGTTTATGTGTTGATCAATGTGCTATTAAGGAATTATCCAAAGATTGGTCATGTGAGAATTGATCTTATTGCAAGCATGTCTTGAAAAAGAAGATTGTGTGATCATTCATGCTTACCTTCAAGGCATCATCCAAACAAAGAGAGTTGGAAAGGTTCAAGGTTGATCAAGACTAAGTCAAGAGTGAATCAAGTTGATCAAATCACAAAGCGTAGAAGATGTACCGAGAGGGATGAAGTGATCCCATGGTATGTTAAGCATTGACCATTACGCTTTGTGTACTAACCCATAGTCTTCGTGAGAGTTCTTTGTGGGGTTAGGTTGCGGTGTGCACGTTCAAGTGATGCATCACGAAGAGATCAAGTGCTTGAAGATTGCCGTCCATTGTGGTGACAACGGACTTGTGAAGATGTGCCGAAAAGTGGCTCACCCATAATGGAGTATGGGGGAGCAATCTACTAGTCTTCACCGAGCCAACGCAATCGAGAAAGGTGGTCCTACTTGAGGAAGTCAAGATCGTCTACATCTAGCTCAAGTGGATTTTGTGCAAGGCAAAGGTTTGGCCTTGATAGGTTCTCCATTTTACTGGTCTTATGGTGGTAGTTTGGAGACCGAGTTATAGGATCGTTTGTTGTACTATCAAGGGGGGATCCCAAGTGAGTAGCTTGATCGTATCGTTCGTAGATAGCTCAAACCATTGCATGCTTGCATCATCTTTCTTGGTTCTTGTTTGGTTTTCTCCTTGTGAGATTGGGAGCTTATGGTCATCTTCTTGACAAGCTCGAGTTCATCGAAAATGGAGTTCACATGCTTTTTCTATTGCGTTTTCGGTGTTGGAGGTTTTACCAGTCTTATTCGAGGAAGGGTTCTCACCATTTTCTTATGGGACTTCTCTAATTTGCTTCTTATTGTTTTTTATCAAGATTGTGTTAGCCCTTGTCGCTAGCTTTCCAACAAACTTGGTTTCGTTGAATTCAGAGTCCGTTTGCAGAAATTGTGTCAGTTTTGGTGTCCTTATAAAAGCTGCAGCGGTAGTACCGCTTGGAGGGGATGTAATTTTTTTATTACCGCTCTTGGGAGCGGTACTACCACTTGAGTGGTACTACCGCCGCTACTTCCGTGGCTACTTCCGCTCCGGACCAAAAACTCGTCACAAGTCCAGCGGTGGTACGCACGGATGTATTTTTTTAGTACCGCTCGCAAGTAGTAATACCGCTACCCTTTGAGGTTGTACCGCTACCCCTAGCGGTAGTACCGTGAGAACGAGCGGTAGTACCGTTCTGTTCGGGCTGTGAGCATAACAGTTGGTTTTTCCCCACCTATAAAAGGTTGTATTCTTCCCCAATGAACCTTATCCTTTGAGCTCGTGTTCTTTCCCCATTGTTGACCTTCATCGAGCTTGCTATATCTCAATCCCTCTATGGATTCTTGCTAGTTTTTGAGAGAAAAGAGAGAGGAGATCTAGATCCACTTTTCCACCAATCACTTTCTCCTCTATGTGAGGGGAACCCCTTGGATCTAGATCTTGGAGTTCTTGGTGTTCTCCTTCTTGTTCTTCCTCTCATTTTCCTCCCTAACATTAGTTGCTTCGGTGGGATTTGAGAGAGAAGGACTTGGGCACTCCGTGCGCCCTTGCCATTGCATTTGGTGCATCGGCTTGAGTTCTCCACGTGATATGTGGAAGTTACAAGTTGAGAAGCTTATTACTCTTGGGTGCTTGGTATCCTTGAGCTTGTTCCTCTTGGGTGCTTGGGAGCCCTAGACGGTTGGTGGTGTTCGGAGCTCAATCATTGTGGTGTAAAGCTCCGGGCAAACGCCGGGGTCTCCAATTAGGTTGTGGAGATCGCCCCGAGCAATTTGACAGGTACCGGTGACCGCCCCAAGGGTTGCCAAAGTGTACGGGTTCGGTGACCGCCCCCAAGGGTCTCCATTTGTATGGGTTCGGTGACCGCCCTCAAGGGTCCCTTAGTGGAATCACGACATCTTGCATTGTGCGAGGGCTTGAGGAGATTACGATGGCCCTAGTGGCTTCTTGGGGAGCATTGTGCCTCCACACCACTCCAAACGGAGATTAGCATCTGCAAGGGTGTGAACTTCGGGATACATCGTCGTCTCCGCGTGCCTCGGTTATCTCTTACCCGAGCTCTTTACTTATGCACTTTACTTTGTGATAGCCATATTGTTCCTTGTCATGTATCTTGCTATCACATAGTTGTTTATCTTGCTTAGCATAAGTTATTGGTGCACATAGGTGAGCCTAGCCGTTTTAGGTTTTGTGCTTGACAAATTAACCGCTAGGTTTATTCCGTATTTGTTCAAGCCTAAACCATAATTATTTTAAAGCGCCTATTCATCCCCCTCTAGGCGACATCCTCGATCTTTCAATTGGTATCAGAGCCTCGTCTCTCGTGTTTAGGCTTAACCGCCTAGAGAGTAAAGATGTCGACTAGGGGATTAGGATTCTCTGACACTCTTAGTTTCGATGACACAATTTTTGATGTTTGGGTAATTCACATGCTTAATCTCTTTAGGGTCATGGACCC